GGGGGATGGGGTGTGAGGTAGATGGAAGGTCTGGGGGATGGGGTGGGGCAGGGAGGGTTCAGGCATCAGAGAGTGATTGAGAGGGAGCGTTTAGGGGACAGGTTGTGACACAGAGGGAGGGTTTGGGGGATTGGGCGGAGGCAAGGAGGGTTTACAGGATGGGTGTGAGCGGGAGAGTTTAAGGGATGGGGGTAAGGGGAAGGTACATTTAGGGGGATGGGTGTGGAAGAAAAGGGGAAATGTGGGAGCACATACCTTCCTCCCTGCGGCATGCCGGATTCTCCCCTGTAGCACTTGAGGCGCGACTGGAGCTGGGGCGTTGAGTCTGCACAGCTTGCTCTCCCAGGAGCCCCGCAGTCCTGACACCAGCCGAGGGGTGGTGGGTGCGGCAGGCTGCAGTCTCGTGCCCTCGGGAGCTCCTGAGCGACCTGTCCCAGGACCGGGACCTCCTGGGAAGGGTCTGCCCTGGGGCTCCTAGACCTGCCCAGCTGGGGGTGGGCATCTTGCTCTCCAGACTTGGGGTCTTTCGGAGGTCTCCCCAGGGGCTGAGAGTCTCTTCCTGGGTCTGGCTGGCCGCCACCCCAACCCTCAGGGCCCCACTGGCTGTGGGCAGGGAGCTGCAGGCTGGGCTCCCCAGGGCCTCTTCTGGGTGGGAGACCAGGGGAATGGGCTCCCCGAGGAGCATGGGAGCCCCAAGGGCCTCCTCAGAGCTGGGGCCAAGAGGCATGGGGTTACGCAGAGCCTCCAAATATGACTTCCGGAACCGGCGTCTGGCCTCACCAAGAGCGGGGTCCCTGGGTGGTCGTCTCCTGGCGCTTGAGCTGCCCCCATCGGTGTGGAAGTGGGGGGGCCTGGAGCTGCCCTCCTGGTCCATGGGGTCCAGCCTTATCTCCAGCCCCGGGCTGTGCTCCGAGAGGCCAGCCTTTACAGAGCCTGCATGCGGGCCCCTGGATGGGGCCCTGGGGCTTCCCCACACAGCTCCTCCTGAGCAAGGAAGGTGCCGGGGCTGGTCACCTCCTGGATGCACATGGCTGCTGGGCAGGGTTGGGGTGCTGGGGGAAGGGGTGCACCCCAGGGGGCGGGGCCTTGTCATGGCCATGACTGGGGGGCTGGGGTGGCTCCACAGGGTGGCCCTGGGCCCAGGAGTGAAGACAGAGCTGGTGATGTCACTCTACGGGGTGCAGTGCCCAGTGAAGCCCACGGTCAGTGGGTGGTTCTGTAGGCGGCACGGCCCTGCACCTCGTCCTCCCATGCCAGGAACTCTCTGGTGAAGACGTGGCTGTGCATGTCTAGGATGGCGGCCTCCTCTGCTCCCTCCCAACCAGGACAGGTCCTTCACCACCAGTTTGGCCGGCTGCTTCCCCGCTGAGGTGACCCCAGGCCGAGTCCCTGGGCCCAGCTACACAGGGCACCGGCCACACCACCACCTTGTTGCCCACACACAGCAGCTTGCCCACTGGAGGATGATGTGGCTGTGGCCTAGAACAAGAGAGGAAGCGGTTAGTAGGGGTGAGGCCGTGGCCTGGGAAAGAGAAGAGAGGCAGTCAGTGGGAAGTGAGGCTGTGGCCTGGGATGAGAGAGAGAGAAGTTGGTGAGGGGGGGACAAGGCCATGACCTGGGACAAGAGAGGAGGTGGCCAGTGGAGGGTAAGGCTGTGACCTGGGACAAGACAGAAAGTGGTCAGTGGTGGGTAAGGTTGTAGCCTGGGACAAGAAAGAGGAGGCAGTCAGTGAGGGGCGAGGCCCTGGCCTGGGACAAGAGAGGAGGTTGTCAGTGATGGATAAGGCTGTGATCCAGGAAAAGAGAGAGGAGACAGTCAGTGAGGAGTGAGGCCGTGGCCTGGGACGAGAGAGAGAAGGTGGTGAGTAGGGGACAAGGTCATGGCCTGGGACAATAGAGGATGTGGTCAGTGGTGGATGAGGCCATGCCTAGGCCTTTGGGAGTGCTGGGTCTGCATCCCACAGGGAAGGTTGACACCACCTTCATAAAATTAATACAAGGGTACAGGTTAGAATTGTAATGGGGGCCCAAATTTTGTTAAGATCTAAGTCATAAGACGCTTGTCACACTTGTTTTCTTTTCTCTTTGACCTTTCCCCATGCACATCCGAGTCCCCGCAGTTGCCTGCAAGATTAACAAACTTGTTTTCCTCTTGAAAAACAACAGGCTGTAGGTCATGCTGACCTCCTTGATGGTATCCAGAAGTAATCGGCCAAAAGGTATGAGTAGCTTTGATGACCAAGGATTCTTGCTTCCACATCCATTGTTCACAAGATTTGTAACTTCCCCAATTGCTTCCACAGACAACATAAACCCTCTTCTGGTGTTTGAGATATTTTTCAGAATCTGCATCCTGGTAGACCACCAGACACCCCCCAGACTAGTGACTCATGACTCTCACCCAGAAACTGACTAGGTGCCCAAAGGCAATCTCCACACATAAGATTTCATCCCCAATCAACAGCCATCCCAATTCCCTAACCCCCTGCCTGCCAATTACCCTTAAAGACCCTAGATTCTGAGTTCTCAGGGAGGTGGATTTGAGAAGCATTTCCCATTCTCTTCACTGAGTGGCTTTGCAATGATTACACTGTTTCTGTACCGAGACAACTTGTGTCTCAGGCCATTCTGGGCAGCTGGCATAAGAACCCATTTGGGGGCAAGTCTGGGATGGCCCCAGCTGGGCGCTTGCCTGCAACTGGTAGCCCCTTGCTGGTACAGTGGCACCGGGAATGAGCCCAAGCTGTTGCTCGCCTCTTTCAGACCGAGAGCCACCTCTGGTGCCATCCCTGCCGCAGGGCAGTTAACCAACGATGCTTTACCTGGTTGCAGAATATAAATGGGTTCTCGAGCCGGAAGATGCCTTTTGGTATCTAAGCATGCCCCACACCTCCCTCTTTGCTCTTGCTCTCATTGGCCTCTCTGGAGGCACTGTGGCCCCATTGCGGATTCTGGTCAGCTCTCCCTAGGTTGTAGGAAAAGTCTCTGGTCGGCCTCTCTGGAGGCACCGTGGCCCCATCGTGGGTTCTGGTCAGAAGAGTCTTAGGTCAAGTCAGGGTGATTTCTTCCAGTCAGATGGAGAAGAGGGGCTGTTTGAAGAATACTTCTTGTCTGGTCCTGGCCTGAAATCTGGTTTGGGAAGGCTTTTTGTTCACTCGTGTCTCATTGTGTGTGTTATCTATGTCTATTATTTGATGTGTGGATGCTTGGAATTTAAGGTTTTTTTTTTTAACCTGTCCTGCTTGTCTGTGTGTCCAATATGGGGGGGCGCTATATGGTAGCTGCTATGCTTTGGCTGTGACAGCCTCTTGTATCTCCGCACCTTCTCTGTGCTTCATTTCCTATTGCGTCTCCTGGAGGATGGCAGGAGGACCCACAACCCCTGCAGGACTTTCCAAAGACTTCCCCATGTGTCTTCCCATTTGCTCCCATGGAGGTAAGGGGAAGTGCCTAGGAAACCTCGGCTGTATTCATTCAATGCCCTGGGGAGATGAGTGGAGCCCCTGCAGGCCATCTGTTGGGCCACCCCTTAGAGCTCTGCCTCAACAGCACTGAGCTCGCGTCTCCCCTCAGATCTCAGTTCCAGCCACTGCCGAGGCTCACCAGGCTCATCCAGCCTGAGCTTGAGTGGTAAAGTGAGGTGCCTCCCCACTCGGTGGCCTCAGCCTTTTACAACAACGCTTGGGCAGTGAAGGGTTTCCATGCTGGGATTAAGGTGCTTGGCACACTAGCAGTGGGAACATGTGGCCCAAAACCCTGCCAAGATCTGCTTTGAGAGGTTTTCATGGGGAGGCACCTCGATCCATCTTGTACGACGGCACCCACACCCATTGTGCTGCTTTCCCTGACCTGCAGGAAAGCCTCCAAGTTGACCCTTTGGTACACCATGCTTCCTATCAGGCTGAGAAAACTGGAAATTTGATTTGGGCTTGATCCAGTGGATTGGGCGTCCCTGCAAACTACTAGAGATTCCCTCTTTTTTTTTTTTTTTTTGAGTTGGAGTCTCACTCTGTCGCCCAGACTGGAGTGCAGTGGCCGCTCCTGGCCACCGCAGCCTCAACCTGCTGGGGCTCCCGGCGATCCTTCC